GCAGGGTCTCCACTAGAGCACGCAAGAGGCACAAGAAGGTCATAATGTTACGCTGTGCAGCGATGCGACGTTAGCAAGAGCTACTGGGCGAGCTACACAAGGTCATAGAAAGGGAAGCACTCGTCCCTAAAATACCGCAAATGAAAATATGTGTATGAGATATATTGCTGATGTGAACAGTTGGCCAGAGTTGCAACAGAGCAGATGGTCAAATGTAATCTCGAGAAAAAAAGTAAACATTATTTACTAAGCCGGGGCACGTCTCAGCCAGTCGCTCACGAACTGACAGTTCACATTGACGGCCAAGATTGAGGTGGCTGCACGGCAGAACGGTGAGAGGGTTGCATCCGATGCGTTTCTTTCCTCTTGAATCATTTTTGGACAAACGTTTCCATTTGTGGTGCGTATACTTACTACCAATCGCCGAGACTTGCGCGTTTTCTCTCACAAGCTTTTTGTTTTCCACTTTGCGCGCAACGCTGGGTACATTCTCCGTTCATCATGTGTGTGACAATAAACGGATGAAGAGCGGCGGTAGAAAGCGAAATCACGGCAAATCAGAAAGGAAGTGACAAAAAACTTGTTTTTGCTGTTGTGCATGGTCGCGCAACAGAGAGTCATTAACGCAAGGAGGTCGGTTGACTCGATGTCGAGCGTGGAGGCTAAAGCTGTGTCGATGAGATCCGACTGGGCTAGAAGTTTCATAAATTCTGAGTCTATCTAGTGCACGTGGAGTCGAACGCAATTGGGAATAGGGAAGGCAAAATTGGATCTGAATCGAGACACAAATGGGTCAAGATCTGATGTGAGGGGGAGGGAATGACGATGACTTGCAGACGAGATGCGGTCGTTGGAGGCGACTAACTTTTGGAGGAGTCCCTCCTTGCAGATTGCGCTGACCGCAACAGTCTGTGAGAGCGTTGTGCTCTGTGACTGTGTCCGTGTTTGTGTCTTAGCAACAGAACCACTGTTGAACATATCATCAGCAAAAGATTCAATGCAAAGTCTCGCTAACAAAGTTATGGAGACCCAGCAACGTGGTGCTGATGCTACCTAGGTTTATGGGGTCATGTAGCGATAAATAGCGGCCCGGAAAGGCCATAGAAGGCGCTAATGACCCTGCTCGGCTTCCGTTGGATCCTTGTTCCCCAAGATTAAACAAGTGCAGGCTAGCTGAGAAGAGAAGGTATCTGAATCATACAATCTTGGAGCAAAAATACATCTGAGACTTGGCCGTTATCCTAGCTGGCCCTGGACTATTCCTCTTTGGGTCTAAGACGACCCGACTCACCCTGGCTATCGCCATTTCCCTCCAGTCAGTTTTGTTTGGCCAGGAGCATGGGGTCCAAACACCAGGCGCCGGCACGACTTTCGCCCACTCTGATCATCCTCAGGTCCTTCATGTTTCTCTAAATCCCTGCTTCCTTCTCTGCCTCTGCCTCTCTTCTCTCTCACTCTCCCACTGCGCTGCGCACCCGTGTCATCCTTCTCTCAACGGACCCCCAGGCGGTTCGCACTGCCTTAACCCACCCCCTAATATCCCAGCCAGGGTCAATCTTCAACCACCACCATCCGTCGTGTCCGCTGCTGGGTCTGAAGTCGCTGGGATCTCTTCGTCCGAGTCGAATTTCTTCTTCTCTTTCTTCTCCCCCTTCCTCCTCTCCCCACCCGTGCCCAGCCAGCGTGCGTAGCATCACCTGGTTTGCCTTCAATTGCACGCGCTCAATCAACTCGAGCCTGAACGACAATCGAAAAGAACGAACTTCGAGGTCCGTTTTCTCGCGATAGGGGTCGTTTCTCGAGGACCATCTCACCTTCTTTAATTCGTCTACGACATTCGCTCTTTCCCGCCGTGGAAAAATAATCGTAATTTAATCTTTCACCAACTGTTACTATCGTTTGAGAACGTCACGAAATCGATTGCGCCCCGACAATTCGACTTCTTCAACCTAAACTAATCACACATTCACTCACTTGTTTGCTCAGGAGAGCAGTTTTTGGCTACGATTATTAACCGCCCAACATCTCTCCATCGATCATTGCATCGACCACTCCAGACCACTTTCGACAACAACTCTTTTGACGAATCAGGCAAATCATTCAAAGCTCTTATCCCGACGACCATGACCTAGGTGTTATTGAAGCTTAAGACATCACCGATTCCTGCATCAGCTTGTCGAACTTGGTCTATCACGCCAACCCAATTCTGCAGATGGCTGCGCTCAAGCAAGACACGGTCCCTTCGAGGGCTCGTCGTCAGTCGCGGAACTATGTCACCCCTAAGAGTGTCATTCTTGGCTTACTTTCTGCATCACCAATGGTTGTTTCGGCTCAAAATTCCAACTGCATATCTTTAAAGGATTCAAAAGCTTGCCCAGCATTCACATCCGCATCCATCTCTACCGCAGATAGTCTGCTTGACTACTTGTGAGTTCTCTTGTCTGTTGACCTCTCAAGCTTACTAACTTCATAAACAGCCCTTTCTTGCGATATGTTTCCGACAGAGCATCTTTCGATAGCCAGCTTTCGAACTATGTGCAGAGAGACTATGTCCAGAGGCAGTAAGTCAACCTACGAACAACATTTTGGAACAATTCTAACCACTCGTAGATATCAATCCTTGTTCGGATGTAGCAATCTTGACTTGACTAACACCAGCGACTTGTATGCTCGCTTCACCACGACCGTGTTATGCAATTCCATTGTCCAGAACTCAATTGAACCCTGTGGCCTGTCAGCATCGCAGTCGCGACCTCTCTGCGCCGACAGTTGTGCCGAGTATGCCCAAAGCGAGGCTTATATAACTTCAGACAACGATCTCTGTTCGAACCCGTCAAGCAATCTGCTACAGCTGATTAGAGCAGACTTCACAAACTGTGCCCTTCCTGGTGGCTCCCTAGACAGTAAGACATGTATTCCAGCAATCGAGAACGAGTCACAGAACTGTGGCTACGGCAACAGCACCGTGGGACTCTGTACCTATTGTGGATCAGGCGGCCTTAACTCGACCGACACCTGCTGTTACAACTCAAATGCCGAGGAACGATGCAAAGATGTCACATTGCCGACTTTGACCGCCACCATGACATTTACCCGAGTATCACCAACATCTTCAGCTACTGGATCAAGCACCGCAGGTAGCGGGAATGACAACTCCGATGAGGATGACGATGAAGGAGGGGGAGGGGGTCTAAGCGGTGGAGCAATTGCTGGTATCGTTATTGGCGTTCTTGCTGGCCTAGGTTTGCTTGCCCTTGGCCTCCTGTTGTGCCTCAGAAGGAGACGACGACCGAGCAGTCCTAAGGGAAGCATTTTCAACCAGCCGTCGCCGGCCCGACAAGGTGGAACAACCATGGCTCAAGCAGCACCGTCCGCCGCCCCTCAGGGATACGAAGTTCTTCCCGGTGGACGAATAGCACGGATGTCTGCTCTCGAAGGCCATTCTGGCGATTCACCTTCTCATCATCGCGACACTTCATCAGCCGCCGGTGGTATTGGTACCGTAGGCGCATACCCTCGCAGGGATCACTCATCTTCTGACGAGTTCACGTCAAGCCCACCCTCATCAGAAACGCGTGGCGGAGTCCTTCGTCCACCACCTACTAAACCTCGAAGACATGGCTCACTCTCAAGTAGTTCGGCCCTTGGCAGCTCTGTACCGCAGTCCCCATCTAGTGCTGGGGGATTCTCATCGCCTCAAGGCGTCGCTAGCCAACAATCTGAGCAGTTACCATTTTTCAAGGATTACTATTCTCAGGACGACATTCACCCTGGTGACCGAATAGCTGTTCTTTGGGCTTACCAACCACGGGCAACCGACGAATTTGCCTTGGAACGGGGAGATATGCTCAAGGTTGTGGGCATATGGGACGATGGTTGGGCAACAGGTGTAATGCTCAACGAGCGGGCAGATGAGTGGGAGGCTCGACGACAAGCTCAACGCGATAGTGGCGTCTCGAACGCGTCGGGTCGCCGCGATAGTTCCCCTGCTGCAGAGGGCGAAATAAAAGCATTCCCTCTGGTTTGTGTCTGTCGCCCCGAGCACTGGAGGAAGACGATTGAGGGTGATGGATCAACGGAAACTGGTTCCAATGGCTTCAATGCTCACTCATCGTTTTCATGATTAATACAGTCACGACACCTTAACTTGAATACGGCCCTGGAAGGTACACGTTATCGGTGCATTGGTTTAATGGCTATGGCGTTCTGGTTTCTCGACATACCCTGTTGGCATCCGCAACACAAACTTCATCCGATATCTTCGCAAGTTCAATACGAATATCACTTATCACGCTCCGCCGTTCGGAGATATCCCAATCCCGATCCACTTACCAACCATCTGTATTACGCCGTTATTCGTCTTCGACTTTAGGAATTATGACGAATTTAGGACTCAGGTCCTTACTTTCAATTCTAGCGCTGAATTATATACCCGGTGCGAACCACCCAGGATTGCTGTTTTGCAGAATTGAGGATGACAGTGCAAGTAATGCGTGGGGAAAACAAGGGGACGAGAGGAGAGAAGATGGCGGCAAGATGAGGTAGCCGCACCACGTTCCTTACGCCTTCAAGGCTTCTTATGATGATGTTCAATAAATAAACACTCACTACCATAGATAGAGCACCTTCTTCATGGGCGGCTATGACGCCTAACGACTTTTTAGCGATACTGCAAATAAGTTCATTATTTTTGATGATTTACACACTACTCGGTCTCTCTTCAGGCAGTGAAGTTGAAAGTAGAATTCCAGTTGAATGCCACAAGCCAGCCGGCTGCTAATAATAAGCGACCAAGGGTCCATCCATGTTTGAGATCTCATGGAATGCGGGTTCCTCTGCCTACCGCTGTGGAGTGTCAAGCGGTGTCAACAGAAGCCCCACCGTGGGGTGTTCCCTCCCGTCAATTCCTCCACTGCTAAAGAGGGGCAGAGAGGTTCTGAAGAAGATCCGTTTCTGAACCTGTAGACTACAACCAAGTCTTTCCAAATCTCAAAGCAACGATGGCCGATGTCAAAGCAAAGGCGGAGGCCCTAGTGTCCAAATTCAAGCTCGATCGCGTCCTCAACCAAGATCAAGCAGGACGTCGCATCTCCCTTTACGGTTCTATCGACGACCAGCCAGCTCTACTAATCCTTGAACGAGCTCCCTTCCCAACCTCACAAACCTACCTCACCGATGTTCCCGCTCAGCTCGTGCGGATTCAGAATCTGGGTGCGAATGATATCTACCACTGGTTCATGGGCCGTAGCGGCACTGAGACGACCAAGCCTGACGACGCCGATTTCTTCGCTGATCTCAAAATCAACTTGATTTACCCATGTACCGAAACGCACGTCAAAAAGTATAGCAAGCAGGGTGTTCGGTTCGTGACGGAGACACCAGAGATTTACAAAGACCATATTCGACCGTATATGCTCAGCAAGAGGGAGGAAGGACGACTCAATTGGGTATTTAACATTATTGAAGGACGCAAGGAGGTAGAAGATGTCATATACAGAACAGAGCTTGGTGAGGCCGGTGATGAGGGTTTCCTCATGCTGCCAGACCTCAACTGGGACCGCAAGACGCTCGATGCGCTGCACCTGCTAGCGCTTGTTGAGCGACGGGATATCTGGTCGCTGAGAGACCTTCGCAAGAAGCACATTCCCTGGCTACAGCACATGAAGACCCATCTTATCGATGCCACTGTCAAAACGTATCCATCTATCGAGCCGGACCAGCTGAAACTCTATGTGCATTACCAGCCCACATATTACCACTTTCACATTCATATTGTTCATGTCCAGCTCGAAGCGGGGGCCACTCAGGCGACGGGCAAGGCAGTCGGACTCGAGGGTATCATGGAAACGCTGGGCGCAATGGCAGGAGACGACGAGGCGGGTATGGATGGCATTGCTATGAGCTATACGCTAGGAGAGGCAAGTGAGTTGTGGACCGAAATCTTCGAGCCACTCAAGTCTAGCGGCGCAGCTTCTCGATCGCAATAATTAAATCGTTGACGCCAGAACCGTTGGGACAGTCGGTCCACTCGCCACCGTCGCGGATGCAGTAGATTTTGTTATCGAGACGAATAGTGGCGCTCTTCGTTACACCGGCCTATCGATCATATTAGCACGGGCATGGTATTCCAGACGAGTTTGGCATACATCTGCAGTTCTCTTGATGCTATCCCGTAGGAGGCTCAAGCCATAGGCGCCGTCCTCCTTTACAGCGCAGTCGTTAAGTTGCTGGAAATCGATCGCGGATTCAAGAGCACAGTCTTCGACGAGGGATCGTTCGGGGATTTCGCTGTAGTCACGGCTTAGACACATGATGAAGCCGAGGTTGATCTTGGGATCGGGGTAGAGTTCGCGGGCGCAGAGCTCGATGATGTTGCCCATGCATTCTGAAGGGCCATGCATGCAGTCGACACCGTCGTTGGCAGTCGGCCTATGGAACCGAAATTTAGTCTCATATTAGAATAGAGCTGTGTATCGACATACCGGCCAATGTAAGATAATGTGAAGTTAACCTTATCATGAACGCGTTGCATCACGGGCAGTACTAGTAGTTCAAGTCCATCCTGGAGATATTGAGCATTTGTTATTCTTCACGTAGATGGGTAGATGTGTACCTTTGCGTCAGGACATTTACTCATGATGTGTGCCTCTAGTGGCACAAGCTTATCGGTAGTATGAACATCGTCACTGGCGATATCGACCATCGTTTGGTTAAGTATAGGGTTGAAAGGCTGCCATATCCAGAATGTATAAACAACAGCTATTACAAAGGCTATTGTGAGGGTAGGTCGACTGCGACGGAGGGAACGAGGCGGCGACATGGCTCGTGGAGCAGGGCGTTTCTCATCCATTTTATACTTATGAAGTGGTGATAATTGAGTATGCTACTCAGGTAGAGAATCCGGGGATGTTAGGTGGAGGAGATGTCGTTATGGACAGCTGAATGCGCGTCACATTCACATGCGGCTGCATTGTTTATCCGAATTTGGTTAGGGAACCCGTTTTGGGACATGAGCTTCAGTGGTTCATAATGTTTTCATACATTCTGATACTTATATGCTCTGTCTAACGTCTCCTGCATTGCCTAAACAGTCGAGTTTTCTTAATATTTCATACTCAGATTTCCAACTTTGAAATGCGCCTCAAGTCAGACCTTCAAGATCATCAGTCCCCGATAGTGAGAAGTGCTGCTGTAAGTCAACCGTTTCAGGGGTAACCGGCGGGGCACAGAAAGGCTGATGTTTGACCCCGCAGAAAATCGCGTGTGAATCTCTTGATCAATTCCTTGTTTGGTGCATGCATGAGATGAGATGCGTTCAATGATATGATATAGATACCTAACTACCTACTAATCATTGATTACGGCCACCAATGTCTAATTGTTAAATCAACCGCTAAGGCCAGATATATTTAGATCGCGGTTCCACGTCATTGCATCAGGGTGCAGCTTCTCTGCGCTATCGTCTGCGTTGGATCGTCAACACAGGTGAATAACTTCCACCTTCTCATGACTTGCGATTCATACTTAGGTATTCATACTCACATTCACAGCCTACCTAGCACACCAGCATTACCTATAAGAGCCCCTGCTACGTTCGTTACTCGATTATACAACCCCTAGCATCCTTCTACCGGTGATCTACTTCCAATCGATCTACGTCAGCCTAATGCCGGTATCAGATTGTCTAGAATGATACCCTGAACTACCGCACATCAACTTCATTAAAGACCACCATTTATATCTTGCAGCGACTTTACTCGAACCATGGCAACCCCTGTATCGATTGAAGAGTTCTTGGAACCCTTATCTGTCGATATTGACAAGATCAATCGACTATCCCAGCTGTTTCTCAAGACATTTGAGAAGCTTGCCGCTGGCTCCGAGAACCAGTTCTTACCTACGCCCATATCTGAAGCTATCTTACGACCAGAGGCGAAGCGAAAACAAGGCTGGTGAGATATTCTTACTCGAGGATCGAAAGGAAAGAAAATATGGACTGACATATGATGTAGCCACTTAGCCATAGACATGTCAGTTACTAGCCTTCAAGTTTCACCATCTCTTATAAATCTAACGTGAGAATAGAGGCGGCACAAACTTGAGAGTGGGTTTCGTCCAACTCGGCAACGAAGCCGCGTCATCTGACCAAGCCAATGGCCATATCACCAACGGATCCGATGACAGTTCTGCCACGAGACATGTGAGGAGGCTTTTGGAGAAGTCCTGGCCCATCGATGAACACCTCAAGAACGAAAATCCGGATAGTCTCTTCCTTTGGATTGGCAAATGCATTGCTGAGGTAGTCCAAGACGGATGTGATACGCTGCACCTACAAAGCGACCAAACATTGCCTCTTGGTGTTACCTTTAGCTTTCCCATGGTGCAGCACTCACTCTCCCAAGCTACACTCATGCAAATGGGTAAGGGATTCGCCATTTCCCCCGACCAGGATCTGGGTGACCGCCTCACCGATGGATACAATCGTGCAAAGTCACACGAGCTACCGCCTATTCGAGTCGAGGCAATTGCCAATGACTCGGTGTCGACACTCGTCTCATTCATCTTCAACTTCGATGAAGCCTTGAATCGACGTGCTGCCATGGGTCTTATTCTCGGAACGGGCTGCAATGCAACGATTCCATTGAAGCTGAGCCAGCTGAACCAATCCAAACGCCCAAAAAGTGTTGTTGCCCGACCGGAGGAGAGGGTAGAGGATGTCAAGATTGCGATCAATACTGAATGGAGCATCAACGGTACTGCACCTCCCTTACACGAAGTTGGGCTGGTTAGCCAATGGGACAAAACATTGGACATTCAAGGTGAATTGAATGGCTTTCAGCCACTCGAATTCATGACGGCAGGCCGTTACCTGGGCGAACTCGGACGAATTATGCTGGTCGACTACTTGACGGAACACTTGGGTATCGCTGCAGAAACGTTGCCTCAAAGCCTTCTGCAACAGCACAACCTTACAACAACGTTCTTGAGTCACTTCAGACCCCTCCGACCCTCGGCTCTTGTCGCCATGCTACAGCAAGAATTCCCCGAATCGACAGGATCACCACCGTTTGAGTGGACCGAGGACCTTGCCACGGCAGTATATCGAATTGCCAAGGCCATTGAGGTTCGAGCGGCTGGTATTGTGGCAGCAGCCACACTGGCTTTGTTGACATTGGCCGAGGAAGTTCCAGGCGAAGGGTCAAAGACATTGGATCGGGATTACGAACTCGGTGTAGGTTACACGGGGGGATGCATTGTTCACTTTCAGGATTACCTGCAGGATTGCCAGGACTTTTTGGACCAGCTCCTGCGCGAACGATTCGGCGAGGCGAGCCCGTTACGAGTCGTACTCAGCCCGTGTCACGATGGAGGCGTCACCGGAGCGGGCATTCTTGTAGCTGCAGCGTCTCAGAGCAAGACGATTGAATAGTTGCAGGATTGGGTTGCATACTGCATTGGGGTGTTTGGGGGGCGGCTGGACCGCTTCGGTAATTGATCAGTCCAACTTGCAGATGGTGGGTATTTGCATCTGTCTGGGGTGGTTCACGAACATGAGCATGGGTGGCCGTAAGCCGGGGTTAATGAAAGGAGGGGAAGGTAGGGGGAGAGGCTTGAGATAAGCTAATAAACCTGACGGTTGATTATTAACTGGTTTATAGAAATGATAACTATTCTCACGAGTTCCGTTGTATGTCTTGTATAGGTCTACCCTTTCATTGAAGAGTGCTAACCGCTCTCAGCAATAGATTTTACCAGCAACTCTATCTAATTGGAATTGGGAGAGATTCCGACTTACAATTACAACTACAACACCAACTATCTAATTGACCCCTCCACACCGTAGTCTTGCTTGCGTGCAGGTGACTCCTCTCCTCCTGTGATGGTCCCGCATAACGGCCGGCAGAGATAGTCAGAATTCTCTGCCTGACTCACACCTACACTCGCACTGAGAAACCTTTTGTGGAAGATACCGCATTTCTAATCCTCCACTGACAATGCATCTATTATAGGCAGTCCGAGTCGGGAATATCCCGATGATCTTTGCGGGGCCACTTTCTGGCTGTATCCGCCGCAAAGTCTGCGATCACGACAGTGAGACTCCACTCTTTTCTACATGGTCCCCCAACCTATTTCCTTAAAAAGGTTCTGTCGGAATCCTTCTATCTCGTTGCAATCTTTCCCTCTCTTCTTTCCCCCCCTCGTCAGTTTCGAACAAGACTTCCTGTCGAAGCTATTAAACCGCCGTGATGACTCCGGTCTCGGACCCCGGCCGTGCCGCTCCCGCTCCCGCTCCGGTACCTGTTCCGGTACGGACCAATTCTCGGAGCAGCGATAGTGATGCAAGTGTCGTTGATCCAGCAGAATTTGAAAATCTTTCGAGATCTTTGACGACTGGTGCTCACTTCCTGCAGCCTGAATCGTTAGAGAGTGCAATGCTAAGGCCTTCTTCTTATAAGGCTAGCCATTACCTTCACGACGAGGAGCAGGAGGGAGTGATCAGTGAGGCTGAAGGTGAAGATGAGGATGAGAGTGAGATCTCTGAGGACTTGGATAATGTGCGTCCCCATGAAGAGACTCCTCTTATAAGCCACAGTCGACGCCATTCCATCACAGCAATATCAACAACTTCTGCTGTGACGGAGATAGACACACCGTTTCTCAATAACACATCTCCAACACGCTTCTGGTTCATCTTCTCCCAGATTCTGACAGCATACTTCATATCTTGCTTCGATGGTACAATCATGGCTTCATCACATCCTGTCATTACATCATACTTCAACGCCTCAAACTCCGCATCGTGGCTTTCCACGGCTTTCCTCCTCACTTCATCTGCCTTCCAACCTTTACTGGGCCGGCTCTCTGATGCCCTAGGCCGAAAGCCGCTTTTTGTAGGAGCCCTGGGCATCTTTGCAGCCGCAACGACATGGTGTGCCCTTGCAAACAGCATTGAGAGTTTTATTCTCGGACGAGCCTTTTGCGGAATCGGCGCTGGTGGTGTTATGACCATTGGTTCGATCATTGTGTCAGACCTTGTCCCCATTGAGAACCGTGGCGTGTATCAGTCATACATCAACATGAACTATGGTGTTGGTTCAAGTCTGGGTGCCGCTGCAGGAGGCGCAATGGCTGATTACCTTGGCTGGAGATGGGAGTTTGGAGTTCAGATTCCGCCACTATTGATCTGCATGGTTGTTGCATGGATTGCCATCCCGGATGATCTGGGTATTCAGGGCGAGAGGAAGGGGGTGTGGCAGGCTCTCAAAGAATTCGACATCAGGGGCTCGTTGCTCTTGACTACCGCCATTACATTTGTGATTCTGGGCCTGAATCTTGGAGGCAACGTCCTTCCATGTAAGTCAACGTCTAATTTTACGCTGATGGTGACTGACTAACATCTTTTAGGGTCACACCCCTTTGTTATTGCAAGTCTTGTAATATTCGCCATCACTTTCCCCGTCTTCCTATGGGTTGAGTCCTGGGTCCATAAACCGATCATGCCCCTTCATCTATTGAACCGACAGCCTCGTGGAAACCTGATTTTCTCAAATGTCATTGCTGCTATTGTCGCTAACTCAATTCTGTTCAACATGTAAGTCTTTCCCCTTTGTATAACAAGAGATTTGCGCCTTTGATGGGACTGTAGCATATCCGTTGCTTATAGGCGTGCGACGTGACGCTCCTTGTGGGCAACTCGTTTTTGATACACGGCAGCACGTTCCGTATCTCATTGCTTACTGTGTTCTCAATACTTGCTTGCAGCCTGGATCATCTCCTGTAGCTTGAAACTGATCTTTAGTACGTCATTGCTAACATGTCATACAGTCCACTCTATTTTCAGGCTGTCCTCCTCACATCTGCCACCTCTTCTGGTCTCCGCCTCATTATTCCGACAATCGCTGCCTCTTCAACCGGTACTTTCGTTGGTTTTGCCGTGACTTGGACTGGCCGCTTGAAGTGGCCGGCCTTAAGTGGTACGATTTGCATACTCATCGGAACCATAGGCCTGGTTTTCCTTCAGCGTGACCTCCCATCTTGGGTTTATCTCTTCATCCTTCTACCCTCATCGATTGGGCAGGGTTTCCAATTCCCAGGAACATTCATGGCGATATTGGCTGCATCTCCTCAAGCCGAGCAAGCTGTTGTGACATCTACACTCATGCTGTGGCGAAGTCTTGGTCAGGTACTTGGTGTTGCAAGTAGCTCGCTTGTTGTTCAGAACGCTTTGCTCCATTATCTCAGACAGTACGTCACAGGAGAAGGTCGTGATGAGATTATTCGTCGTGTGAGAGAATCGGTTGAGGAGGTGGCCAAGCTTGAGCCCAAGTACCGAGAACAGGTCATCGTGAGTTATGAAGCTGCGCTGCGGCTCACATTCGTCACTTGTGCCGTGTTTGCATTTGCCTCCGTGGTGATGATCTGGCCGATCAAGCTTCCCCGTCTTGGTGTGAGAAAGCACAAATAAACTCGAGAACATATATCAAGTGAAGATGAATCAAAAGGACGAACGGACAAGATAGTAAGTATACGAGCGTAATGCCTAGCGGACAGATTGTTAGATTAGACCCAGATATGCTAGCCTCGATTGAGCCCCTATTTATACACCATAACATATCAATTATGAACCCCGTTAACTCCAGATGCCATGAGCGCGTCCAGCTCTTCCTTTGCATTTCTATAACTCTCCTGTGCTTCTCTCTCACGTCGGTTAACAAACCCGACTTCCTCGCGTAGAGCGCTTAGTCTTCGCTCGATGGCCACGTCCTCCGAGATAGCTAGCGTCTTGAAACCAGCCAGGGCAACGCGTGCCTTCTCTAAGGCCTCATAAGCATCGCCCATCTTATCACGAAGCATCTTCTGTCGCTTCTGATAACCACCGAGGTGAAGTGATAGCTTCTTCTCTAGCTTAGCGCCTGCTTCAGCAGAAGCCATGATGGAGTCTTGAACAGCCTGGATAACAGTTAGTATAAAGGTTCACTTCTGCAACTCATCAAAACTTACATCGAATGCAACCTTCATGACCACCCCTTGCTCTTCCTCGTCATCATTGTAACAGCCCAGACCGAGGAGTAGCGAGCTGCTTGCGCGTGCTTCGAACGCAGTCTGGATGTCTTCAAACTTGGGAAGAGGTTTCGTTTCGGACATGATCAATAGACGTGCCTCCGCGAGAGCATTGTCGTCAATTTGTTGAAGAGGCTTAGGGGCGCCACTTACATGGCCACCAGGGACAGGATATTTCATCGCATCATTCGCCATCAGGTTCGCTGACTCCTTAGCAATAAGGGACTCAGCAACATCTGATATACTGGTAGCCTGTTTCAATAAACTGGGCAGATCGACATGAACCGGTCTGGGGAGGTTCTTCTGCATAACTTGAGTTCGCCTACGAAATTCGAGGGCTTCTTCAGCTGCTTGCCTCTCACGTGCTCGGCGGTCCCGCTCTGCAGCATCCTCCTCAGTCATCTCATCAACTTGCATAGCCTCCTTCTCTTCCTCAGGTATGTCGAACTCCCATTCCGTATCTTTTGGTTTGGGAAGAGAGGCCAGACCTGACTTGAGCTGGGTGCGCAAAGCCATATCTCTCATCCTGATGTCTCTGGGTGTAGCCGAAACCATCGACATTCCCCCGTCTTGGTTCAGAGATAGGGTGTCTCTTGGTGTTCTCATGGGCGTTTGTCCAGGTCGACCAGGCGTGGCCCCCAGGCCATCTGCCCGCAGAGGTGTGGCCATTGGGTTTGGCGTAGAAATGATCTGCTTTCGAGGAGCGATGCCATCGAAACCAGTCGAGGCTGCGCCTTCATGAAGCGGGGTGTTCTCACCACCGAGAAGGACAGAATTTGTGTCGTTGAGCGCTCGAATATTTCGGATTTCGTTGGCAATGTGATCTTCTTGTTCAGGGGCTTTTGGTGTTCGAATAGGGGTAGCGGAGTTCAGAGTAGAATATGTGTTGACAAGTCCTCGAGTAGCGTCGTTCTCACTCTCCTTTGCTCTCAAATTGGCAGCCTCACCCATCCTACCCATCTTGACGATGTCCTCCAACTCGCCCTCACTGACTTGGGGAGCGGGCAAAACCAGACCACGACGCTTACTGCTCTGCTCTGCCTCTCGAATCTTCTGTAGCTGACCAGCCTTCAGAGCAGCCTTGTATGATTCCGACGCCCCATCCTTATCGGTCTTCTTTCGCTTCCGGTCGTTGTCATCCTCGCCCTCACCCTTGCGCTTGTTGGCTAGCTGTTGTTTCCGAGGATCGAAAGCTGCGCGTTGAGCCTCGTTCTGCACCATTTCCTCTGATGTGTCGTAGAAGCCAGGGAGAGCTTTTCTCTCGAAAGGAATATCGGCGTTGTAGTCCATCTCACCCTTTTTCCTGGATGTGACCTTGATATTGATTCCAGCTGTCTTGAGCTCTCGTCTCTTCTGTAGAGCAGCAAG